CTTGCCAAGCAGTCACTAGGATTTAGTTTCTTTGTTTTTCTTTTTTCTCATCAGCTGAGAGAATGCTTTTGTATGCACAGAAGTACTACCTTCAGCTACATGCTACTTTAAACATTCCTAGAGGTGAAATGATTAAATTTCCAACCTTTTAAAATGTGGATTTTTCTGGCCACTTTTGTATCTCTTCAGTGGGTTTCTAATGAATGTAAGGGGAGAGCCAGGTCATAGTGAATGGTGTTGTGTTTGGTATGCTGAGGAAACTTGGGGACCAGTGTTTTAGAAAAGATTAGTTCTACACTGTCATGTTTCAAGTACCGAGTATTAATTGTTCTTGTCATACAGATGGCCCAGTGAACATCTCTGGTGGATTCCTTACAACCAACCTCTTGTTAGTAAATATACCATTAGAATGTTTTGTTTCTGAACTCCCTGATTTCCCCCTTTATAGGTCGGAAATGATGTTGATGGAAGACAACATTTGCCTCTTGGAATTCTCACCTGCACACCAAAGAAGTGCTGATTTTGTCATTTGCACCAGCTTCTTTCTCCAGGAAAGGTCAAAACAATGCACTCCAAGGGTAACATTCCAATTTTTAATACATGTAATATCCGTATTATTTTTGTTGGGTCATCAAATAACTTAGAATTGCTTTTACAAAGTCTGTTAATTCAAACAGTGTAAGGCATTAATAACCTGGTGAGTTATCCGAGGCCTCTCTTCCTCTCCTAGAATTTTTGCACAATCAGAGACATCCCAGTAGAGTAATAAATTAGTACATTTTATATGCAGATACGTAGTGAGGCCTCCTTTCCTATGTGTGTTTGACAAATGTACATGTATACTTCTCATCTTCCCGTATTTTTACTCTATTTCCACAATTCCATGTAGACCAAAATGTGGATGTCATATGGAAGAGTTTATACATTCCCCTTGAAATATGGCAGAAAGTATCAGAAATATTACACCATTCCATGCTCACGGGCCATTGGGAATTCTCACAGTAAGCATTTTCTCCAGAGATTGCTATATTCTTCTTAGGGAATTATAATATTCCAGTGATAATGGTAGTGAGCAATGTGACTGTTTCATTGTTCCTATATCCTGGTCTGTATGACTTAACAGTGTGGTCATGGTGTCATCATGTCCAAGAGTGACAGAATCCTCAGTGTTTATTGTCTGTCTCCTATCTCAGGCTCATGGTTTCTTTTATAAACATGCTTGTATTGATGATGATGTCCTCAATATATTTTGGTAATCTGGACAAACTGAGCAATAAAATTGCTTCTCTGAAATTGATTTCAAGTAATATGAAAGGCCATGTTACACATTTACTGTAAATCTGAGGTAGGTTGTGATTATTTAAGGTGTATTTTATAAACACCCAGACCACTAATAAGAAAGTAATTCAAAAAATATTAAAAGAACCACCAAAGAATTAAAATAGATTTAACAAAAAAGATGGCAGGTAAGGATGAACAGAGGAACCAATAAGACATAAGACATATAGAAAACAGATAGGAAAATGACAGACATAAACCTAGCCATATGGCAATTATATTAAAATTTTTAAAGAGATTAGGAAATTCCATTTTTTTAAGAAAACATGAACAACTATATACTGTCTACAAAAAAGACACTTTAGAACAAAAGATACACATAGTTTGAAAGTAAAAAGATGGAAAACACTATATCCCAAGAATCCAGAAGAGAGCCTAAGTGGGTATTCTAACATGAGAAAAAAAGAGACTTTAAGATAAAGTATTGCCGGGCGCGGTGGCTCACGCCTGTAATCCCAGCACTTTGGGAGGCCGAGGCGGGTAGATCACGAGGTCAAGAGATCGAGACCATCCTGGTCAACATGGTGAAACCCCGTCTCTACTAAAACTACAAAAAATTAGCTGGGCATGGTGGCGCGTGCCTGTAATCCCAGCTACTCAGGAGGCTGAGGCAGGAGAATTGCCTGAACCCAGGAGGCGGAGGTTGCGGTGAGCCGAGATCGCGCCATTGCACTTCAGCCTGGGTAACAAGAGTGAAACTCCGTCCCAAAAAAAAAAAAAAAAAAAAAAAAGATAAAGTATTGCTAGAGAGGAAGAAAGGTAGTATTTAATGATAGAAGGGTTAATTAATCTGTAATATATAACAATTATAATCATGTCAGCACTAACAACACTGCCCCAAATTATATAAACTGAAAACCAACATGACTGGTGGGGTCAATAGGCAATTTAACAATAATAACTTTTGTTTATATCCTCTTTTTAATCACTGATGAGTCAATTAGATAGGGCATCATTGAGGTTACGACGTACTTCCACAACCAATTTGACCTGAGATAGATGACAGATAGATAGAGAAAACTCCACCCAACAACAGAATACAAATTATTTTCAAGCACACCTATAACGTTCTCCAGGATAGAGTATACGTTAGGCTATAAAACTGTACTCAAATTTAAGATTGAAACATTCTGGAGTATGTTGTGTGTCTCTAGAGGAATTAAATTAGAAGTCAACACAGAAATAAATTTGGAGGTCACAAAATATTTGGAAAATTAACACACTTTACAAAACCCATTGTTTAAAAAAATACCAAGTTCTCATTGCAAATACCCCTCAGTAACACCATGTTGACATTTTGATTCTCATTGGTTTCAGTGCTCATCTCTGTGAGGTTACCAGAAGATCCCATAGCAATATCACTCATTCTAAGTTTATCTGTGGGCTACACTGGGAACACTGTCTATGGGTTAGCCCTGCTCTGCAAGGAGTAGTAAAAATATATATATATATTTTTTGAGGCTGAGTCTTGCTCTATCTTCCAGGCTGGAGTGCAGTGGTGCGATCTTGGCTCACTGCAACCTCCACCTCCAAGGTTCAAGCGATTCTCCTGCCTCAGTCTCCCAAGTAGCTGAGATTACAGGCACACACCACACCTGGCTAATTTTTGTGTTTTTAGTAGAGACGGGGTTTCACCATGTTGGTTAGGCTGGTCTCAAACTCCTGACCTCAGGTAATCTGCCCACCTTGGTCTCCCAAAGTGCGGGGATTACAGGCATGAGCCACTGCACCCAGCAGTAAAAATAAATTAAACAACTATGTTTGCAGCCAGTGGGGAATTGTTTTAACTAGGCAATAATTTGATCTATTTTGGGAAGCATCTTGTAATCAAATCATAAATCAACATTAATCATGTGGTAAGTCCTCCATGGTTTTCATTCCTATAAACTCTAGGATGTTTGAGATTCTCTGCTTAGCTTATAGAAGCAAGGTACTGGGTATCAAGAATGTTTAAACAGTTTCTCCTTTTTGGGAACAAAGATGATATTGGGCTGGAATGAGATGTGTGATTGAGAGAATGTCCCTGAGGCCTCAGCAGTATGAACTGTTGGGTGTGGGCATTGGAAGAGTGTAGTGAATTCTTATAAATTTATGTTGCCTCTGCAACATCCAAATCTTGAGTATAAGTTTAACTTTCTTATACCAGAAGCGAGGCTTACTCACCTTTGCACAGTTTCCAGTTCTACAACTCCTCCCAGTTCCTCAGTGTGGTTGGTCCAGATATCTGCCTTATCCAAGTGCCTCCTTTGGACCACTTCACCATGGGACAGCTTGATGCAATCTACTTGACTGGCCCTTTGATCACCACACCCCTCATGGAACCATTGTCCACCTCCCAGTCACAGTGTGACCTCAGGGAACTCATGCCTGCTTGCTTTAACCCCATCACTTAAAAGTCTCCGCAGAAAACCTGTTTGCATAATACCCTTGACCCAATAAGGGCATTGGCCCATGGGTGTCTCTCTCTCTCTGTCTTTTTCTCTGTCTTCCCCCTCTCTCTCTCTCCCCCCCTCTCTCTCATGCTCCCTGACCTCTGTGTGTGGACTCCGGGCATTCCATGTACCCCTCAGGACCTGTAAGTATTACCATCTTTATTTTTATCTTGTGTCTCTTCTAATAATTGAAAGGGTGCTCTCTATCTTGAAGATGCTATATTAAATAGAATGGGAATTTGTCCCTAATACAGTTATTCTCAGGCTGAAACACCCTGTTTGCACTCTTTACCCATTTAGTGATTTTTCTCAAGTTACTGTACATCATGTATTATCAACATAATTGATATTGTAGGATGGAATTACAACATACTTCCTTTGACACAGAAAGTTCTATTGGACACAGATTATCTAGTGCTACTACATGTATGCTAATTTATGATAAATGTGTAGATGTGATAAAAACAACATTTATAAAATATCTGTCTTAGAAATGTTAGCTAAAATTATTTTGGGGGGCCGGGCGCGGTGGCTTACGCCTGTAATCCCAGCACTTTGGGAGGCCGAGGCGGGTGGATCACGAGGTCAAGAGATCGAGACCATCCTGGTCAACATGGTGAAACCCCGTCTCTACTAAAAATACAAAAAATTAGCTGGGCATGGTGGTGCGTGCCTGTAATCCCAGCTACTCAGGAGGCTGAGGCAGGAGAATTGCCTGAACCCAGGAGGCGGAGGTTGCGGTGAGCCGAGATCGCGCCATTGCACTCCAGCCTGGGCAACAAGAGCGAAACCCCGTCAAAAAAAAAAAAAAAAGAAAAAGAAAATTATTTTGGGAAAAGTATGTTTGAAAATAGAATTGTAAGCTACCATATTGTGATAAATATTTCTAAATTCGTTTATTGTCAGAAAGCAACAAAATTAATTAAAACAGTAGCCTCATTTAAGTATGTTTTTATTCAGAAATGCATGTTTTATTGTATGTTTGTGGCTTAACTTTTTTTTTAAGTTAAAACTTTATACTTTTTACATGAATCCGCAATTTCAAGATATTTTAATGGTTGATAGGCACAGGACAATTGAAGAAAACCTGTAAATATATTTGGTAAAATTTATGATGCAGTGTTTTGCAGATGGCTTCAGAGAGTATTATCACATCTGTTTGAGATATGCTCAGTTTTACATTTGTCTCTTAGGTAATCAACAAGGCTGAGATCAGTAAATCATACGTAAGCCACTGTGTAGTTATGAAGCTATTCTGAAAATAGGCATATCAATTTATCATATCTAGACTTTCAAGTTATATTGATGTTGTTGAAAATGATTTTGTATTACATGCGTTCTTCCAAATCATAGATGAAAATATTTTATTCATGTATGTCTTTTAAATGAAGGGTGGTTAGGATAGTCCTGATTATTGCACATGAATATTCTCTTTTACTAGATTATTGTTTGGGGGCAAATTTTAGACTACTATTTTTAAAAAAAAGGGTAACTTAGTTTAATCCAACCTTTTCAGATAGTTAGAAATTATCGAAATGTATATTTTTTTGTAAAGAAGGTCTTGTGAAAATCGTTGAGCTAGAAACATGTCCTTTATTAGTGGAATTCTTAGAAGCTTTCCTCGGGCTTCACTGGGTGGTAATAGACTGTGATTGTATTGTGCTGTATATAATTGTGTAAATAATCTATATCCCATTATCCCATTCAGGAGATAGAATATTTGTATTACTTTATTATTTGATAAAATGTTCCCATTCTATTTTAATACCTAGTCTTAATAGAACGGGAAGATTTTATCTTACTAACATAGTTATTACCTGGCCACTCTCTGTGTCCATAGGACCTTTAGGGTAAAGGGAGGGCAGTGTGTATTTAAAGTCTGTGCATGTGACACACAAAGGGCTTAGCAACATCCCTTTTTCCCAGCACAGGATACCCACACTTCCAGAATATTTTGTTGTTAAATTAGATTTTGTGTGTGTGTGTGTGTGTGTGTGTGTGTGTGTGTGTGTGTGTGTTTATATGTATATGTGTGGTTTATATGAACATATAGATGCATGTTTATATGTGCGTTTTTTTTTCTTAAAATGTTATTGTTTCTCTTTTTCTTTTATGTCAGGTGATGATAGAGCCTAGAAGGGAAGGGAAACTGTTCATGCCCTTGCCTTAACTTTCAAATATGATAAAAACAACATTTATAAAATATCTGTCTTAGAAATGTTAGCTAATATTATGTTGGGGAAAGTATGTTTAAAAATAGAATTTGGGGGTGGGCGCGGTGGCACATGCCTGTAATCTCAGTACTTTGGGAGGCCGAGGCAGGTGGATCACGAGGTCAAGAGATCGAGACCATCCTGGTCAACATGGTGAAACCCCGTCTCTACTAAAAATACAAAAAATTAGCTGGGCATGGTGGTGCGTGCCTGTAATCCCAGCTACTCAGGAGGCTGAGGCAGGAGAATTGCCTGAACCCAGGAGGCGGAGGTTGCGGTGAGCCAAGATCGCGCCATTGCACTCCAGCCTGGGTAACGAGCGAAACTCCATCTCAAAAAAAAAAAAAAAAAATAGAATTTGGTAAAATTTATTTGGTAGAATCGTAAGCTACCACATTGTGATAAATATTTCTAAATTTGTTTATTGACTTGTCAGGAAGCAAGAGAATGAATTAAGGAAAACTCCAGAGAATGAGCTGACAGCTTACTCCCCGGTCAGTGGCTCTCCATGCCCACCTGTGGTCTCTTGGACACCCTTGCAGGTATGACTTTGTGGGCAGAGAACTGCATGTTTATGAGAAATGGGCCTAGGATGGAAGGAGTTGATAGATCTTGCTCTTCTTGAGTTTGGTGACGTGGTTCTGGTTAAATAGCATGAAAACCCCTGTGAGAGCCAGCTGAGGGTAGACACCATTCTGAGGAGTGAAAGGCAAGTGGTCACAACAGCCCTTCCCCAGCAATCTGAGCCCAAAACGGCATCTGCCACTTTAAGACCATTTATGTCTCAGCTCTTTATTTGTATGATTGATTCATCCAGTGGATTTTTAGTTTCTTATGTTCAGATAATTTTTCAGTTCATTTATGTTGTGACACAAGCGCCTTGTGGATTGCCTGCCACAGAACAGGTTCTCAATAAACTTTTATTGAAAAAAGATGTATAAGTAGGTTGTCTGGAGTAATTTTGTGGATAACCTGGCCAAGTAAGCAGTAGAAGACGTGATTTAAAAAAAAAAAAAAAAAAGAGGCCGGGTGCGGTGGCTCAAGCCTGTAATCCCAGCACTTTGGGAGGCCGAGGCGGGTGGATCACGAGGTCAAGAGATCGAGACCATCCTGGTCAACACGGTGAAACCTCGTCTCTACTAAAAATACAAAAAATTAGCTGGGCATGGTGGCGCGTGCCTGTAATCCCAGCTACTCAGGAAGCTGAGGCAGGGGAATTGCCTGAACCCAGGAGGCGGAGGTTGCGGTGAGCCGAGATCGCGCCTTTGCACTCCAGCCTGTGTAACAAGAGCGAAACTCCGTCTCAAAAAAAAAAAAAAAAAAAAAGAGAGACGTAACTTTCGGTGGGATCCGGGTGATCTAGTTGGATCTGGAAATGGGCAGTAGAGAAGTTCACTGATGCAGTGTGCTGACACTGAAATGTGTGGTTTTGGACTAGACAGTTGTGATTTCAGAACTGTGTAAGTAAGGGGCAGATTCCAAATTAAATCAGTATAAAAGAGTAGCAGAGAAAAAATTTCCAGATTCCAGCCGCATTGCTTGTTTCATTGGAAGTGGCGGTTCTTTTTTTTTTTTTTTTTTTTTTTTATCCACCGCAGAACACAACTTCCTCGGAACTCTTCTGGGAGTGAATGTTATCAGCAAATTACTAAACAAACACCCCCTTAGACAAAGAGCTGCCTCACCTGTGCATTGCCTCGGCCACCTGCTAAAGGTAAGGTGTTAGTTAAAATAGTCCTTGCTTTCTAGGAGAAGCCATGTTTGGGTAGAAATCGAGGTGGCAATTTTATGAAGATTGACGTTGTGATTACATTCTAATTGATTCTAAGGTTTCACAACAAGTTAAGAGATGCTGCTTTTCTTATATACCTTAGTGGCTTTTTCTACATCTCAGTAAATCACCAAAACATTTACTGTTAATATGAAGGATTTCCTTAACTTCTCTCATCTAGTAAACTGAACTTCCTCATGGCTTGATCCATTGTGATGCGGAAACATTGATGTAAACAGGAGACACTAGCTTCTCCATAACTGTTAGACTGGAAAGTTGACAAACTGTTTGGTCTGAAATGACTGATCAAATAAATGAATGACCTAGAGCTTTAAGAAACAGAAGGGAAGAGACAGACATGAAACCTGACGTTGTGGATGTCTATCACTTTTTAGCCCAGTAGAAGGAGGAAAAGCTGCACCAATATCTGGCATCCTTGACATTGGGAAGTTTTAGTGTTATTGTTCTGACCTTATCATGGAACCAGCTGCTAGAAATGAGGTTTTCTCTGTGCACTCTGGGTATATTTGTTCTAGCACATGGAGGAGGAAGATTGAAGAGGGATCTCATACCCCCATGACTCCTTAGGAAATGTTTCTCACCTTTGCCACTTTTCCCACTGTGTCCTTGCAGGTGATGGCCACAAAGAGGTGGATTTGTTGAGTTGTTGCCATTCCTTCTACTGCCAGCTTCACCAAAACATTGACAGTCTTCCTTATGCATGGAGACTCCTCTCTTCCCTGTGTTGCAGTGGATACCTCCTGCAGATAAGAAATGCTTAACTGAGAAATGCTCATGTTGGGATATCATCGATGAGACTTTAATTTGGGCATGGTGACTGTTTCCCTTGCTGCCACTTGACTCAATCCCAGGAGCCTCAGTAGAGGATATAATATTACACAAGCTGCTCAAAATGGTGGAATTGCTCAGTACTCCCATAAATATACATTTATAGTTTTCATTTGCCACATGGTAAACTGAAAAATATAGATATATTGAAAAGAAACTGCATGATTTTTTCAAAAATTCAAAGCACATTTAAATAATTAATATATAAATTAAATGCCCTCCTCTCTTCCAGTTCTATCCCTATAGTTTTCCTCTATTGAGTGAGCTGCATGCATTCTTTAGTGGACAGATGCACACAAACACACAAGCCATTTTGGGGAAGGATCCGGGAGTGTGGCCATATTGTAACACATTTTTCTGCAAATTACCTCTTTCATTTAACAGCTCTTATTCAGTGGCCTTTTTCTTTTTCAGTAATACATACACATCTGTGTCATTTGTTGAATGATGACATGAATGTTTTGTAGATGAAATATAATTAAATGTTTTAAGCATTTCTCACTCATAGATATTTATGTTAGCACCAAATTTCTGTGCAATGAACCTCCCTCTATATAAATAATTTTGCATGTCTATTATATCATAATAAATTATTATCAGTTGACTTACTGGGATTAAGTATATGCACACTTCATATTTTGAAAATTATCGCAAGATTGCCTTCAAAAAATGTGGTTAACAACTTTATCCTCAAATGGCCATGAATGAGATTGCCAGCTTTCCTACAACCTCACAGACAATGGAGTTCATAAATATTTAAGATTTTTACCAATGTGATCACCCAACTATTGTCTTAAATTGTATTTCTTTTGTTTTTGAGTTTGGTCATTTTTTCATGTTTATTAGCCATCTGTATTTTTTAATTTCTTCTTTATGTCCAATTTTGTGGGTGGGAGGAGGATTTAGTCTCTTCCTGATTTCAAAGAGCTCATTTACTATTTTGGAAAATAAGATTTGGATTGTCAACCATTATAGCTATTTTTGACACACTTTTTAACTTTGTTTTTATTATAAGAATGTGTATGATTGTTATATGTCAAAGTATAACCATGTTTGCTTTTACGGCTTCTGAGTTTCATGTCATTTTTGGAAAGATTAATATATATACTGAGTCCATAAAATCCTTCACCTATGTTAAATTCTAATTCTTTTGTGTTTTTTTAATTCAAATTCTTAAATCATGAGAAATTTTTTTGTTTTGAAATCTTAAAGTTGCCAAGTTACTTGCCATTACTTGCGATTATTTGCCAATAATTGCCCATTTATCTGTACCGCCATCTTGCGCATATGTGCTGTACTCTCATCTGTGACTGGCTCCATTTTTGTTCTGTGGATTTGTGTGTCTCTTCTTCTGCCTCCTGTCTCATGTGTCTTCTCGTTGGAAGAAATTACAGTTTAGACTGCAATTTCATCAACTTTAATAAATTAATTGAGGGGAGAAATTGGTTTTTAAAAATATTAAGTCTTCGTATCCAAGGACAAGGTATGTCTTTTTTTATTCAATAATTTTAATTACTGTTAATATTTTCACTTTGGTGACGGGAGTTTTTCTTTTAATTTATTTTCTTGTTCATTTTTTGTATCTAAAGTTTTGTTTTGTTTTGTTTTGTTTTGTTTTGTGTTTTTGGGGGTTAGTGGCCACCTTACTGTTTCTTGTTGCTTTTCAGATTTTTTCAAAGTACAGACTAAATCTTTTGCAAATATTCAAGGCTTTAATTTTCCCCCTTCATATGGACCCTGATTTTCATTATGTTGACAAAGTCCACAGACTGTTGCTATCAGAACACTTGAACAGTTATGGAAATATTACCCACCCTTGATTTAATCAGGATTTAATGGAATGCTTCTTTGGTTTGACTGGCACATTGTTGCTGGTCATTTTATCCCAAAGACCACCAGAAAGAGCTATGATCAAGCAAAGCTGAGTTTATTAAACTTACTTGCAGCAAGGGAAAACACCACCTTGATAGGGTTTAATAGTGTTTAAAAATCAGGAAATGAGGCTTTGGGGTTTGGGCAGGGAACTGATTAGAAATGGGCAAAATTTATCATGCAATACTTTAAGATTGGTGGGAAAGTGACATAAGTTTCTTAATGTGAGTATTGATGATCAAATCATTGTCTAGGTGAACTATTTGCCTATATAGAGATGCTATCAGTGACAGAAAAGCTATTTGCATAGATAAGCAAACTGAATTTATTTATTGGTTTACAGTTTTATCTTGCTGGGCAGGACTCTGCTGGGGGTGGTATCAGGTCTTATTTCCAATAGGTAAGTTATTTTGACGTGGGTGGTCTTAATCATTAATGTGTAAAATGCTGATTTTAAGTGTGAAATACTTTGTCTATCATGTTAGGGAAGTCTTCCACCTTTTATATTTTGTAAGGAATTTTTATCAAAACCAGGCGGTAGATATAATGAAATTTTTTTTACAGAAACAATTTTATTGTTCTTTTTTAAAGATTTTTGTCACTATGAATTAATTTACTATTATTGAAACTTCCTTTTATTCCTTGAATGAACAGACTCTACTGGTAGTTAAAACATGTTTTATTCTTTTAATTTACTACTTAATCGTGGGTATTTTAATTTGATTCATAATTTTTACAAGTATACAACTAAGTGAAATTGATCTGTGATTTTTCTTTTTTGTGCTATTTTTGTCATGCTTTGATGTCAGATAATCTGTTTGTGTTAAGGATTTTCTTCTTATACTATGTTCTAGAGTTGGTGAAAAAAAAAAAAGCTGTAGTCTCACTATCATTGTTTAAGTGAACACATCAATGAAATCATTTGGACTCTCCTTTGTTCTTGGTGGTTCGGAGTTAGAAGGGAAGCTATATAGAAGGTTTTTTTTTTCCTTTTTTTGTATGGTTATTGCTTGTTCTTTGTTTTGTGTCTTAAATTTAACCTGTTTTCTCTTAGCAAATCACAGTTCATGCAGATTTTAAACACATTAGCATTAAGTTATACAAAGTGCACTTTCATCATTCTATTAAATTTCTCATTTCAATTATGTATTCATTTTCATTTCATTTATAGTTATTTCTGCTGTGCCTTTGTCAATGAATAAGTCTAACTTGTGGATATTTAGCATCACCTAACTTTCCTGTTCCCTCTCCCTCAATCAGGTCTTTAGTATAATTTATCAGTTAATTTTGAAGGTTCTAATTTACTTATATATATTGTTTCTGTATTCTTTTCTTTTCCTAATAAATTCTTAAATATGTGTAATACATTCATTTTCACTTGTTCTTGGCAATGAAAGTTTTATCTTGCTGTGCATTTTATAAAACTTTTCATTATGAACACATTGTAAACATACAGTGTATGAGGAGAAAAAAACAGTGAACTAGCACATACGAGGAACTGGAATCGGTTCCACCATTATCAACATTTTGCCATACTTACTTCAGGTTAATTTTAAGTATTTTCAAATAAGCTAGAGAAATCATAACACTTTTTTGTCTCCCATAAACATTTTTAAAATTTTATTTTTAAATGTATATATATATATATACACACACACACACACACACACACACACAAACATATGCTTTTATACTGTTCTATAACTTTCTTTCATAACTTATGTAATATAAAAATATTCCAATATTTCTAGCTGATGGTTACATAGCCAGGTGGAGCTTCCCTGTTATTTTTAATAACTTATATTTTTACATAGATAAAATTTACATAGTTAAATGCGTTGATATATATGTATTAATTGTATAATTCAATGTTTTCTTAAAAATAATTACATCCCATTCAGAAGATAGAATATTTTTATTACTTGAAAACCTACCCTACTCCCTCTTTCCAACCAACCACCTTCTCAAAAAAAAAAGTGATTTCTATGATCATAGATTAGTTTTGCCTGTTCTTGAAATTAATATAAATGGAATCACACTGTGTGTCTGGCTTCTTCCACTCATCATAATGATGTTGAGATTTATCCATGATATTCCCTATATCATTAGTTTAAATTTTTTAAATAATTGTAATATTTCACTAAATGGTCATATTACAGTTTGTTTATTCTCTTGTTGATGCACACCTGAGTAGTTTCTAGATTTTAGCTGTTCTGAATATTAGCAGATCTCTTATGTAAATACCTAAAAATTGTTTGATTATAAGACAGATTTTTGCTTAACTTTATAGGAAACTGGTAGAGAGTGTTCTAAAGAATTGGACGCTTTTCACACTCCCAATCAGTAATACAAGATTTTTAGTTACTGTCCATTTTTGCCAACATTGGAAATTTTCAGTCTTATCTATTAAGTGGATGTGAGGTGATATTTTGTTGTGACTTCAGTTTGAAATTTGACCACTTAAGGCAACCAGTTTTTCAAGAAGTTATCCCATTGTAAATCTTCTTTAGTAAAATTTGTGTATTTTTCCCAACTTTTAAATTATGATTTTGAAGTAATTTTAGACTTACAGGAAATTTGCAAAAATAGTAGACTTCCTGTGTATTCTGTACTCAGCTTTCTGGATATTAGCATTTTACATAATCTTTATTATAGCATTATTGCATACAGTGATCATTGAAATCAGGAAATTAATGTAATACTATTAACCAGTCTGCAGACCATATTCAGATTTTCCAGTTATCCTACTAACGTCCTTTATATCTCATCCCGGATACAATTCAAGATCCCATATTGCATTTATCTGGCGTGTTTCCTTTGCCCTCTCTCCTGATTACAAATCTGGGAGAGCTCCCTCAGTCTTTCTTTGTATTTCATTAAATTGACACGTTTGAGGAATACTAGACCATAACTTTGTACACTAGTCTTCAATTTGGATTTGTCTGATATTTTTTATTATTAGATTAAGGTTATGAACTTTTGACAAAAGATAACACAGCAGTAATACTGTGCCCTTTTCCGTGGATCATATCTGGGGTACATGATGTCAGTGTCTTATTTCTTGATGATAAATATGATCACTTGTTTAAGGTAGTGTCTGCCAGGTTTATCCTCTGCAAAGTTAGTTCTCCTTTCTTTGTAATTAATATTTTATGAGGAGATACTTTGAGACTATGCAAATATTTTATTTCATCTAATTTCAGCATTAATTGAAGATTCTTGCCTACAGCAATTTTGATTATGGTGTTTAACTAGTGATGGTTTCTATTTCCATGATACTTTCTCTACTTACTCATTGGAATTTGACTGTAAGGAAGAACTGTTCTCCTTCTCCATTTATTTGTACTCGGTTGTTACTTTACATCAGTATGGATTTGTGGATATCTTATGAGTTGTTACATTTTGCAATCATTGTTTATTTTTAATTTTCCATTTTTTTCTGGATTTGATCATTGGGAGCTGCTTTAAGGTAGACCCCTGTGTTCTTTTAATATAGCCCCATAATGTTTTGACAACTTTTTTTTTCTGGTATCACAAGGTGTTTTAGGTTTGTTTTGTATTTGCCTTACCCAAGCCTGTAATGAACCATTTCCTCAGAGAATTCTAGTTTTCTCTTGATATTAAGTGCATTCATCGCTAACGGGGTTTTATTGCTTCTAGGCCTAGAGCTGAGAGGAGCTATGTGTCCGTTTACTCACGCACACACGCAGACGCATAAGCACACATCTATGTTTATTTCTGTCTCTATCCATTTATTTATCTTAAATATATATACTAATAGCATGCAGAATACTCTTGATGGTATATATCTTTATTAAAAATCATGAGTTCCTACTGTTACAGATTCAAATCCATCATCATAGTATTAATTTTATTCTTCCCTCTTGGCTTATTTGTGATTTGTTTCTTCAACAGTGAGAAACCTACCTTACATTATCTACAATATGTTTTGTTATTTTTTCAATGCAATGTACAATTCAAGTAATTTCAGAATGGCGTTACCCCTTTTAAAATGAAATCACTAACTACAGCACAATATTTAAATATAATTCTTTTTTCTTTATTTGTAACAATGTCCAGTCAACATACTGTTTCTAACCATATTTAGGTTAATTAATCTTTTTTCCTATCCCCTGCAGTTTGGTTACATTTATCATTTAAATTGGCATTTTTTCTACTCTTTATATTCCATTTTGAGTTCCCTCACATTTTGGATTATTTTAATTATATTTGTATATGTGAAACATTACTATGGTTCTAAAAACTAGGACTG